TCATTATCTTTACGCTGATAGTAGGAGCTTTAATCATGATACAAATTGCGCTGTGTCGAGCTATTGGTTTTCTCTGTTTGCAGTTGTATCTGTTGAGCTATAGTTCTATGGAAGCGGATTCCGGCCAAGATTGTGAATGACAGTAATGGGGTGCAAGAATGCTTCCACGTCGACAATGTAGAACTGCTGCTCATTCAAGGTACCCTCTATTTTGATTGGAGTCCACCAGTCAGAGAGTGGTTCCTCTTCGTTTTGCATTTCTGCACTCTCCACAATTGCATACACATTACTGCTGGGCTCCTTATTTTCATCCAAGTCGACCGTCTCTCCTGGAGGAATGTCCGTCAGATCCACAAATGTCCAAATTTGTGCTGGGTAGTTGCCAACTTCCTACTGTATCATCACCCAATCCCTCCAAGCTCTTCTGCAACGATAGTCTGGATGTTAACGGAAGACGACACCATTTCTGTGGTGCTCGGCATGAAAATGCAGAATTGGAACAAAATGGGAAATTTTTTGCTGAAGTGTCCAGTACATGTCAACCAGCTGTGTATTCTTTTCGACTTTGGCCTTATTATTCATACGAGATTTGATCTCGAAGGTTTGTTCGGCATCATCTTCTTTTGGCAAGACGACAAAACACATGCCACAAGTCTTTATTGTTTCGGGTTCTTCCTTTGGCTCGTCGTGCTCATAACCATCAAAATATTCCCAAAATGGACGTCCATCGATCTCTTCCATGGCCAATTCCAACACAAGCATGTATCTCAAGGATCAGGGTTGCTTTTTCAAGTTTGTAATGTCCTTTCGCGTGAGTTGAGGTCACCTTTCATCATTTTCAACTTTGTGTAGGGGCCCTACTATCCTTTATGCTGGAGCCCTGTACCTCAACATACATTCCGGTACTCATATAGTCTTACCTATGCTTCAGCCCCCGTCGCTAAGGTGCACCTGATCGCGCATCGGGCTATCTTTATTAGGTTGAGAAATTCTATCCATTTTGGTGCTTGTGGTTCGTATTCTGTCAGAAGAGTAACTGAATATATAGAGGCGTTACGTGCTTTGGTCTTTGAGAGGTGTCCACTCTATGTTGGAAAAGCATTCCATGCAATTGGATCTCCTAGAACGCAGTAATAGAGGCGTCCAATGATGCAAATCTCGTGCGCTAGCGTCGAGCACTATATTCCGATCTTTCTGTCTTGCATGTCGCCACTTGATGCTTGAGAGCTTTCAGGTTTGCTTATGCTTCACTGCTTCTTTCGATAGCAACCAGTATCTGTATACACGATGGCTTCTGTTACTGCCTCCAAAACTCATTTTTCCTACTCTCAAATGATGGTCTTCATGCAGACCCGTTTCTCAATTGCCATTGTGAAAGCTACACATTTATGTCTCGGTGGATCCAAACCCTTTGCCCCCGTAATGTTCCTCAGTTTCTTGCCCCTGTTCCCACAGAACCTAGTCCCAAAATTCGATTTTTCTTTGCTTAAGCCTGGCCCCGGCTGCCTTCCGTAGATAATTTCCATACTCTAAAACCCTTTATTCTCCTTGAATTTTGTTCTTTTTGCTTCATTTATGGCGAATAGATGCTAGGGAAGAAAAAACCCTTTTCAAAGAGCATTTTGGGGCTCTTTCGACTTTTTTTCTTTTCTTGTCACAAATCCGGGAGATTGGTATTTTCCATGGGAGATTGGGATCTAGCTAGCTAGCGCAAAAATATGGCTAGAAAGCACCGCTGGCTAGAAACAACGCTAGAACACAACGCTGGAGAGTAACAACGGCTAAAAAAAACAACGCCCACCAACCTCCACAGTACTTACATGTAATACTCTGGACAACTACTCTAGCAGTGATAGCATCATATCAACTGTATACTTACTACTGACTTACTAATCTATACTACTACTACTACTACTACTACTACTAACACCCAACCATAGTACTGCCGCCAGCAGCTGAACTATGCCTAGGAGATCAGCCAAACAACTTGTCCTCAAACGACTTGATGGCTTGATTCTCGTATTGGCGAAACATGTCAATGTACTGAATCTGCTGGGTGTTGACAGCAGCCAGCAATTTGATCTCCTTTACCGCTGCCATTCTTTGAGGCGCAAGGTTGAGCGCAGTCGATACTTTTTCAGGGTCAAGTACCGACGACGGTCGCCAAGATTTCATATTTATCTTGCAGAGGAAGGAAGCATTGAGGATGCCTTGACGGATACAGAATTTCTTGTCCATTTCCGGCTACCACGCCTGGTTTTTTGGGAGCTGGTTGACCTGATCAAGAATCATGCTATCTTCCATCGGCTAAACCCTGATGGACCGAAACCAAAGCCAGCTTCCCACCAACTGCTGATCCTTCTGAAATATTATGGTACCGAAGGAAATGGTGCATCCAGCATTAATTTGGCCACTTTCTTTGGAGTTGGATCTGGAACAATCAACGAATGCAGGAAGAATGCATTAGAGGCCTTGCTTTCTTTGGAAAGTCAAACTTACTATTGGCCAACATCTGATGAACGCAAAGCAATTGCCGGTCGAATCAAACAAAAGTGGCTCTTCCCAAATTGTGTGGGATTGATCGATGGTACATTGTTACCTCTAGCTGCTAGACCCCTTTTACATGGGGAGAACTATCTATCTAGAAAGCGATTTTATGCTATTGTTATGCTTATAGTTTGTGATGATCATGGAAGAATTTTATATTACCATGTTGGATGGCCTGGCTCTGTACACGACAATCGAGTCTGGAGAACTTGCAAGTTGTACCACCAAGCCGATGAGCATTTTGCTAGCAACGAATACCTATTGGGAGATTCCGCATTTACTCCTGGGCAACAGATGGTACCGCCTTTTAAGAATCTCTCAGGCCAAGCCTTGTCACAAAATTCCACCGAGTTTAATACATTATTGGCAAAGCCACGAGTCAAGTCAGAGCATTGCATTGGCATCTTGAAAGGACGATTTCCTTTCTTTAAAAGTATCCGAATGAAGATTGCCAAGAAGAAAGATCTAAAACGAATTATTCGATATGTTCGAGGTGGAGTAATTCTTCATAACTGGTTGGTGAAGGAAGAAATTGATGCCGGCTGGTGCTATAATGAAGCTGCCAACAATGAAATGGTACAAGACGACTTTGCTGCTGAGCCAGCAACAGAACTTAATGAAGCCAACGATGCCCGTAGAACTCAGATACTATATTATCTTAGCACTTTAGAAGATACCAATATTAACTAATAAGAATATTAACTACTATTGAATTTAAGTTCTAATTATGTTTCTTAGGCAATGGACCCAACATACCATCAAGCTCGGCCTCAGTGTATCCTACTTCTTGCAGCTCCTTGCGTGATTTTAAAAGAGCAATGAGATGTTTTTGTTGCTGCTGTTGCAGCTGCATGTTGAGCAACTCAACTTCCTTACCGGATTTAAGCTGCAGAGCAGCGGCTTCCTTTTCCTTTGCCTCTACTTCTCTCTTCCGGAGCGCCTTGAAGGAATTCTCCTTGTCATTCTCGTCAACATCCAACAATGATGCTATAATCGCATCATCAGCACCTTTCCTGGTTTTGGGTGGCTTTTTGTTTTTGTTGCCTGAACTAGAAAGCCGCTTGTTGCTGTTTCCCTTTGCAGTTGGTGTTTTAGGAGCGGTTGGTGGGGGTTGGGGTTGGGGTTGTTCCAATTCCGCCTCGTCGATGTCGGAGTCATCGGCGGCACTGATGGCTGCATTAGAACTGCCAGTGGAAGTACCAACAGCTGCTGGTGCATCCAATTCAATAGAGCTAGTATCATCATCGTCGTCGTCGTCGTCGTCACTGTCGTCTTCATTTGTTGCCAATGGTCGAGCATTGGGCCTGTCGCCCATAACATCCTCTAGCTCATAGTAGAATGGGCACAATGTCTTGACATAAACTGTGATATCGCCTGGACCATTTTTGAGGCCTGCACCAGTATTAGACATCCAATCGCTTGCTTTTCTAAATTGAGCTTCCAACTTCTGGATTTTGTTGCCAACATCCTTAGCAGATCTCTGGCTCTGCCCATCAGTCTTTTCGGCAATCAGTTCAGAGACGATTCGATGATACTGCACCTTGGAGGTTCCATTATTTTCGGTTGATCCACAATATTTGCTATAGTTGTCAGCAGTAGTAATCCAGTCCATAAGAACTTGCTGGGATCCGTCCTCTTCCCAAGTCACATACTTTTGTTTCTTATCGGCCGCAGGCAACTTGCTCTGCTCTTGCTCTTGTTTCCACCATTTGTTGTAGCAACGTTTGCCACAAAAATAAATATCATCTTCTTGGGCTGGACGCTGTTCAGCGGGAATATTGTTAAAGTCAAGTAGCAACTTGCAGCACGTCGCATGTGTGTGGTGTTGACACGCCTCATTCCAGCAGGGTTCCAAGTCTTCTATTTTCTTGCACTTCTTCTTTGCCGCCTTACACACAAGCATGGGTGCAGCATGGGCTTGTCTTTCACCAGTATCAACAATAAGGGAAGCCTCCTCAGTAGCCGCCGCCATGTTGCTTTGTCTGTGGCTGTGGCTCTGAAGGTTGCTGTGCATGGATGGCAGAATGGCAGAATGGAGCGGCGGAGTTGAGGAGCTTGAGGCTACTTTGGAAGCACGACCTAGGATACACAAGGGCTAAGAATATGAAAAAAGAAAAAAGAATCTAGCTTCGCGAAAAAGCCAAAAAGGGGTTGTCAAAGTTCCTTAATTCTGATTGGCTGATGGAAAGAGTGAAAAAAGAAAAAATTCCATGGAGGAGCGACTTTGACTACCCCTACTGTACCGTAATCCATGGCTTTTATCTACAGTGGAATGGTTTGTTCTCAATTTGTGAAGCTGAGCCAATGGAAGGCCGCCCTTTTGACAGCCAAGGTGAGTTTCGTCATTGAACGGATGTTTTTAATTAAAGGTTGGGTCCAGAGATGACTTGCGTAGACCACGTCACCGAAGTTAATGCATTCGGCAACCAATCGGTACCAGTACATGTACAGTAAGTAAATGCATGTACAGTACGGTTACTACCAGTACCGTGCCGGTGGCGGTACCGGTATAAGAACGACGGAGGGAAGGCGCCAGCTACATGCATGCTGGCACCTTTACTCCGCTTGCGGCCACCGGTACCGCCACCTGTAATGATGTCACGATTTGTGAGACTTCAGGGTTCGCTAACCAGTAATTTTGGTTATTGGTTTTGGTTACTGGTTGACTGGTTATTTGGATCAACCAAAACCACTAACCAGTCAATACCACTGGTTATTGGTTGATCAACCGATAACCAGTAACCAGTACGTTTTCGACTGGTTGATTTGACTGGTTACTGGTTGATTTTACTGGTTGATTCGACTGGTTATTGGTTGAATCGACTGGTTGATTTCGAACTTCGAACTTGCCGTTTCCTCTCATAAATTCGCCAACCAATACTTGAAAAGGGGAACCTCTAGCCTCCGTTTTAACCATTGGTTGAAATCGACTGGTAATTGGTTGATCGAGTGATTGATTCTACCAGTTATTGGTTGATTCGACTGGTTGATTCGACTGGTTGTCTAGGTATTTGCCTCCAAGATAGCTACCGTCCAGGCTGTGTTTTATCCTTCGAGCAAGGTAGTTACTGTCCAAGCAAGGTAGCTACTGTCCAGGCTGTTTGTCGTTAATAAGGAGCTTGTGGAGGACATCACTACTGAAATGATGGAAGAACTTGAGTTTTACTCTAAGGAAGAGGAGAAGGCTGCGGAAGATGAGAGAAAAAGGGTTGCGGCATCATAGGGTGTGCACAGGCAACTGGTGGAAGCAATCTACAAACAAGTCTTGCACTGCATGTTGGAACCTACATGAACTTGATTGGGGCTATGGCAACCTGGGCAACTGCATGGGGTGGAATCTACTACACACAAGTCTTGCACTGCATGTTGGGGCCTAGATAATAACCACTGGTTCAACCAGTGGGTATCGGTTAATCAACCTATAAATAACCAATAACCAGTGGTTGATCAACCAATAACCAGTAACCAATACCCTAGATTGACTGGTTGAACAACCATTAGCTAACCAATAACCAGTACCCTAGCTTGACTGGTTGAACAACCATTAACCAATAACCAGAACCCTAGTGACTGGTTAGCGAACCCTGTTTGTGACTATGGTTTTATAAGCCAGGCTAGCCTTCTTAGATATCATGGATACTTAGACTATGCCATCTCTTTCAGAGAAGCTCACATTATCCAATTCAGCACATAAAGGGAAAGGTAGGTCCCAGAGTTCGAAACCAGCGTCGCCCCAGTGAAACCCCAGTAAGTAGCCACCAGTGAAGAACCACGAGCCAATGATGCCAAGAGTGAAGCTAGGGAGAGATGAAAGCTAGGAGGTGGAGCTAGGAGCATGTTGTGAGGACCTGGGACTGCGCGCGTTTCACTGCCCTTAGAATTCTCTTGAATCATGGGAGCAGAATGTAATGGCAATCATTACAACAATAAATTACAACGATTGATATGGGATAATTCAATCAAATTCAATAACCTTTTACCAAACTGGTTCACCACCGCTGCATGGACCGTCCGACGTTTTTCGCTCAGGATTTAAAAATGTTCTACGACTGACTCAAAACCAGGTTCGCAACAATTAAGGGCTTGTTTTCTCAGGGCTTGTTTAAGGGCTTGTTATAGCCTTAGAGACAAGTCCCTAAGGGATTGTTTGTTTAGGGGTTTGTTTGCTCCTGTTAAGGGCTTGTTTAAGGGCTTGTTTGATCAGGCCGACAACAACATCACAATACAGTAACAGCAACCACTCGTCGTCCATAGTAGCTACATACGTGTCTGTACCTGCCTCCCGATACATCAATGTCGATAGAGGAAGAGATATGAGTGGTAACTAGTGGTGTCATGGTCGGTTGGTTGGTCGCTCGCTCGCTCTGTTGAAAAGGAGGCGTCATCATGGTGGCTTCAATGAATCGATAAGTGGATCGATCCGTTGGATCGCTCCTCCCAAAGAAGGAAGAAGTCATGTATTGATCCAACGCTGCCCTTGTTTCGAAGAGGAGCCTGTCAAGCTGGAGGATAGCATTTTTGTTGTTGTCGCCTGAAGCGAAGAAGTACTGATGTCGCCCGAAGAAGATTTTGGTTGCTGTTGTGCTGTTCTGGCTGTGCGTAGTTGCGAAATAAGGGCTTGTTGGAATCAAGGCTTGTTTGGAAGGCTTAAGGGATAGTTTGATAAGGGCTTGTTTGTTAAGAGCTTGTTTAAACTTTAAGGGCTTGTTTTAAGGGCCTGTTTGAAACTGTGGTTAGTCATGCCAAATTTCAAGTTTTTAAAAAACTGAGTGAAAAACATCGGACTAGCTCAGCACGTAATTTCGAACCCGTGAAGTGGGAAATCTGCAGGACCGTCCGACGGTTTAAACTCAGGATTTAAAAAAGCTTAAAATTTCCAGGACTGGGGGCCGTTTAAAACATCCCCTTAAACATCCCTTAACAACCCCTTAAATCTTCAACACCCCTTTAAACAACCCCTTAAGCCTTCATTGAAACGCTATACAACATTCCCTTATCACACACAAACATCCCCTTAAATAAACAACCCCTTAACAACAACCCCTTAAATACGCAACATCCCCTTAAACATCCTCTTAAATCTGTAAATCCCCTTAACGTCCCCTTATCAAGAACCAGGACATTAGTCAGTCGTGGCAGTTTTTAAAGCCTGAGCGAAAACCGTCGGACGGTCCAGTAATACTTTTACACGATGCAAAGGGTAGTGGATCGGTTTGCCACGAACTGAGCCACTGTACAAAATGGCGTAGCTCGGACGTTTTGTACCTGAAGTAAGCCTTCCATGTGCAGTCTTCTCAGCGCGCCACCAGGACGGTTCGTCCCGGTTTCACTCAACTCTGCTGGCTTCAGATCTTAGCAAACAAAAAAACGCAGCAACACAACACCGCCTTATCCATACCTAGTACCGGTAGCCAGGCAAAGCCAGGACAATACCACCAAGTGTCAATACGATGTCATCCAAAAGAAGAGATGATGTCATTAAAGAAGAATCCCGAGAATCTCTCTGGGCAGGATCTCTAGATTTTGTCCAGCTTTATACAAGAGTCCCAATGGTATGACCAGTACAACCACAGAGAAATCTAGCTCGTCCCACCTTGTTTGAGCCGATGGCCTAATGGCATATGAAAAGTCTGTACAGGAACAAAATACTTGTTAGGAGAAGCTTCGAAGCATAGATTGGTTTATTCGACAGGTGCCAGCGCAGCGTCCTCATTTGACAAACTATCAATGCATGAAGTTCATCCCTGAGCTTCCACCTAATATGCATTATGAGCCAATTGGAATTGAGCATGGAAGATGCAAGCTTGGGGTGGAAGCTGATAGGAAGCTAACTGAATGGACTCAAATAAAACCCAGGACCTCTGTGGAAACTCGAGTCGTGTAACCGATCGTCTCCTAAATCCTTTTGATCGTCTCCTATTTAATGGATTTCGTCTCCTAAAAATAGGAGACGAAACGGATCGTCTCTTAAATCTTTCGCCTCCTCTTAAATCGTCTCCTATTTTCAACGGATCGTCTCCTATTCTCAACGGATCGTCTCCTAAGTGCACCATGTAATTTGTATGGTATCGTCTCCTAAATCTTTCGGATCGTCTCCTATTTCGAAACGATCGTCTCCTAAATGGAATGTCTCCTAATGAATCGTCTCCTAAATATAGGAGACGATTGCTTTCGTCTCTTAAATCATTTCGATCGTCTCCTAAGCCTTGGTGTATCGTCTCCTAAGTAATTTGCCACGAATAACGTTTCCACAGAGGTCCAGGGCAACAACAGAACTGAGAACAACAACAACCAACAAACCAACCAGATCCCCACAATATTGCACGGATGGCAAAACTGGTTGTCGCCTATTAGACTGTCATTCCAATCCTCATCACAAAATCAAGTGTAGCACCAATGCATCAATCATCTAAGAAGCGCATAATGGGGTCTCGCGAAAACAGCGAGGTCTGGAAGGTACCGAACGACATGCGTCCCTAGGCGATTGGTGACGTCATTGCTCCCGGATTTGGATGGTGTTTGTTGTGGAACATGTACTGGGTTCTCCATTGGGTGTGGCAGTATGCACCGTTTTGGAACCCTGCATGCATCCTAAATTCCCAACCCATAGGTACCGACCAATTTTGTGGTCCCGTTTTGTCCCCTATGCCATACCATGAACATGGAAACTACATACAGAATCCGGTACAGAGCGGTTTGGGGTTAGCTTTGGTAACCACACTCACATTTTGTAAGGTCGTGTAGACTTTGCCTAAGGTATTACAGTTCCTTTATACGGGCTAGCGATCGGCAATTATAGCTAGCTATTTACTAGTTGTATCTTGGGTTATTGGTATTGCGATTACTGTAAAGCTTGGTTTGAAAGCAAGAGGGCACTAAGTGCTCACACCAACCAATCTCGGAGTTGCATTGCAGCAAGGCAGATTTCACTTGGCATGGGCAAAGCAACAAGAATGTACTAGTACTAGGAGA